GGCTTCACCCTGCCTGCTTCTGTGTGAGGTTCTGGATGTCACAGGGCTGCAGTGCATGCCAGCCAAAAAAAACCACTGCCCTGAATGATGATACCAACACGCTGCAGGCAAAGCACTGTTCTTTCAGGCCTCCCGCATGCGTTGCTTGTGGCATTTGCTTCGGGTAGCTGTAACCTTTCAGCAAAACTTGCAAATGCTTTGTGCACTGCACAGAGCTTGCAAACATGCTGTGTAGGTTGCAACACAAACAACAAACCTAGCAATTTCAACACGGCTGTGCCAGCGTTTTAAAAAAAAAAAAAAAACAAAAAAACACCTCTTTTACAAACAGAACAAGTTGTGATCTCAATTTCCCTCCCTGAACAGCAGTCCTACTGCTCTCCTTATGCTGAACTGATGCTGCTCCTCAGGCACGGAGGTCTGCCCCACACTCTGCAAGTCAGTAGCAACATAGCCTTTGACTCCAGCAGAGAAAAACCAGCCCACGCACCCCTCTGGTGTTCCACCAACTTCATTCCACAGCCCTGATTTTTTCTCTATCTTTTGTAGCTTTCATCATCTAAATCCATCAGCTGCCAACACAGCAACCCCAAATCACAGCAGCTACAGACGAGGAGATGGAAGCCTTCACCACTCATCACGCATGCTCTGTGCAGCATTACAGAGATATCCAACCCCAAACCATACACGTCTGTGTGTTTTTCCCATGCTCCTGCACAAAGCTGCACGCTGGGAGTCAAAAGGAATTAAACATTTCTGTGCGCTTGCCTATAATACTCACAGGCACTATTTCACTCCCAAAGCCCACCCACAACTTCATTTTCAATTAACAGCTCTTAGAAAAGCAGTAATGAAAGCAGTTGCTAAAGAGCACTCAGATGTCATTGAGAGACTGCAAACCCAAACTGTAAATAGCACATTGTAAATGGCTTGTCAGCAGCCAGCTCTCACTGGAATCGTGCTGCCGGTGACAATCAAACCCATCTGCTCAGCTCCCACCCGGTAGCACCACGAGCCCTGCACCTCACACCAGGTCCCACAGTGTGCTGTTACCTGCCGTGCCCGGCCCTGGCTCCTCACCACCAGCAGGACTGACAGCAGCCCTCAGCAGGTACATCACCCACTGCAGCAGCAGGGCACTGCCACCTCCACACCTGAGGCTGAGCCTGCTGCAACCAGATCCCAAGCACAGTTGATGTCTGCAAGTGACGATGGCAGGGCAGGAGAGCAGCCACCAAGCCTTAGTTTCCCGTCTAAGACATGCAGATTCAGGGCAAGACTGCCAAGGGATCTCTGACTCAATTCCGAGAAGAAAAAGTTTCAGTACTTTCCTCCCTCCCCCTTATTTGATTCATGTAAATGGACTGCAAGGTTAGAGCTAATGCTTGTAGCTGATAGCTCTCAGATTGAGACATGCATCTTTTTACTCTTCTTCCCTCTCTTCTCTTTATCACACTAAAACTCACCTTCTAATTCACCTCTCTCTCCATCACCAGCTTTCCTTCCTTAATTCATTTTCTGCCTCTCTGCCAGTGTCTCTCACTCAGCACCAGGAATTGGGATTCAGCTGGCTTAGGCACAGCTCCATAGCACACAATGCCATCTCCTACTGCACATAAAGCAGCTCACAGACTTGAGCACAGAACCCAGACTGCTGCTGCAGAGCAATATATACACTGAAGAGGATCCTCTCCTACAACACAGCATGTGAATCTTCCAGCTGAGGCCATAAAAAGGCAACGAAGGAGATGGTGGGGGTAGCAGAAGTCAGCATCTTCTGTTCTTTCTAGAACAATTACCCCCTGAACAAAGAACATTGATCTTTCCTCTTGCCACCAACACACCTGCTGCAATCAGAGCCCTTTGTTCCTACCATGCCCCATTCTGCTCGGACCTTGAGGAACAGCACCACATTAAACACCATTACAGTTTCTTCCCATCCCTTTTCTAACAATACTCACCTCAAGATTTCCACAAGAGCATTAAAGGAAATGCATAATAACACTCCATCTACCAATTAATGTAAAGGAAATTAAATCTAAAATGCTGGAGAAATATTCTGATGAGTCTTATGTTTGCTTAACGCCAACTGAAGTTTCCTCAAGGCATTTAATAAGTACATTTATAAGAGCTCACAAAGAAGAGTTCAAAAGTCTTCTTGCTAGTAAAATATGAGCCTTAATTAACCTATAGTTTCACATTTTCCGGATTTCAATAAACCTGTAGGCATTTCAGCATAGCTGAATAAATACCTGCATGAATACTGCAAAGATTTTCTCTGAAAACTAATTAGCAGTCCTTCCAATAGCTGACTTCAACTGAATCTGCTTGATGAGGGAGCTTCGTACTGTAAATCCTGCATGTGAGAGTTACTGCCAGCAGATAACAGATTTCAGAGAGACGTACCAGACAGGACTGTTAACTACTGGTAGAACGACAAACAAGATCTCCAGGTGTAAAACATTCCCAACAGGGACAGACTGCAGCCTAACTTGTTTGCCAGCACAGGAAGGCAAGTGACAGCGCTGAGATGGCATCCTGCCATCCAACCGTAACATTCACATGTGACAATTCAGGATTCCTCTGAGGACAACGGGAGCAGGACACCTTGCTTATGTCTAAATCACATAGCCTTAATACAGCAGAGATTCCATATAGATAGATAGATATCCAGCAGCAAGCTAAATTTACATTGAATCACAGGATGGCACTGGTTGGAAGGGAAAAAAAGATTATCTGCCACGAGCATGATGGCCAAAGGCTGCTGCCCAAGGCCCCATCCAACCTGACTTTGAATGCCGTCCGTGGCTTCTCTGGGCAGCCCATGCCAGTGTCCCACCACCCTACTGGCTTCAGATCCTCCTACTGTGTCCAGTACAAGACAGCAGTGGGCCCAGTTCTTGACTTGCTCTCATCTAACAGGCAGCTTTACTTCCAAGCCAGAGCCCAGCACAGCAGTGGGACGACAATGGGAAACCAAACCCAACGCACAGCCAATGGCTGCTCTAGGAGGGAAGATGTTATATGTTCAGAGGGAACTAATCATCCTCAGAACTTATCAGCCCCCTTCATTTTTTCAGGATCTTTTCCATCTGCCTTGAGAGAAACGGCAGAAAATATTTAGTATGAATACTGCATGTAAAAGTTGTGTGCCTTTTCAAATAAGCTTTATTGTCTATTACATATTTTTCTTCCTCGCACTTAAAATACCAAAGCCACTTGGATTTACAAGTACCTAAATGTTCTTAAGACTAAAATGTTCTTGTCTAAGGAGCTGTACCCCTTCCAAATGTATTAAATTTATACTGAGCGAGATATTTTATTTCCTTTCAGGTTTATCCCTCAGGAATTAAGCAGAGTTCTCAGATTTATCAGCTAAAAGGAAAAGCATTTTCCATGACATTTGTCAACTCAATACCTTCCAAGTCAGTGTATATTTATTTTTGAAAACATAACCTCACAAATAACCTCCATCAGCAGCTTGGCTGATTCCTTCGTTGCTTAAGTACCAGGCAGAAAGGTTTCACCTGACAGCAGGCTATGCCAGGGGAATCAAAAAGTGCAAGAAGTCAGCTTTTCTGAAGGCCAGTTCCTACTGTACAAAGCAGAGATATTTACCATCTCACATACTGAAAAGAAACACAAAGAAGGCGGCTTAGGTGAACACAGAAAACAACGAAGGAACACAGCAACTCTCAACATCTACTCATATACATTGCATCAACTGCCTTGAAGCATCTGCCAGCCTTCCTCAGAAACAGAAATAATACCAAAGTGAGCAGAAATACCTTTAACAGGTGTGGTAGTATAGATATTATACAATTTGTTTGCATGGCTGAACTCTATAATCTCTTATTTTAGTTTTACATACACCCAATGAAAAGACTTTTACCAGGCTCTGCAGCTCATTACCAAAATGCAGTGCAAGTCAACAAACTTGTTCTCAAAGTTTATTTCCCATTTCCCTGAGGTCACAGAAGGAGAAGCAGCAAATCTCAGTTTTCTCCATTAAGTTTCTCAGCAAAGCAATGTTTGGTTTTCACCAACCAATGATAAAGACTCGTTTTAAGAACACCAACTATCTCCATTAAACAGATGCATCTTGGATGAAGAGCCAACAGCATGACTCAAATCTGGGTTAAAGTTGGCCTCTTTTATTGTTTCTTCAGACTTCATCACTGCAGACAATGAGCCAAACAACCAACAGGTACAGGCCATAAGTAAAACGCCCAAGACCTGATTTATTTTTAGTATATAATAAACACACAGGATACCACTCATCAAAAAAGCCAAACATGGCTTTTGTTGCTAGAAAAATGACTTCTGCCATGAATTTTTTCTGTCTTAAAAATGGGAAACACAGCACTGTACAGTCCTGAAGAAAAGAGACCAGCACTTCCAGCCTCAAGCTTTCCACTCCTGGATTCTGCACATTTGTACACCTGCAGCTCAGCAGATGTAAGACATCCTCAGCGCAGAGCAAGCAGGAAATTCTTCTTCCAGATAGGTGATCAGTAACCCAAAAGGGCTCACGCTGGTAGCACTGACATCCTACAAATGAGCTCCTCACACCCATAATGAGTCTTAAGAGTTTTGTCTTGATTAACAGCTGCTCTCTCACAACTCCCTCACCTTGCCCTTCTTCAGAGAGAATCTCAGGTTTCTGTGTCTAAAGACAAGGTGTATTTTCAACACAAAGTCTGCACAGCAGCATAACACACACATTTATTTGCACTGGCAGCATCACAGTCAGCCTACATGAAACTCTTTCTAACCTCTGGACTTCCATTAATCAGCTCAGCTCCAGAAGCCACTTTCTCTCCCACTCTGTCAATCTCTTCTCACACCAAGACTTGATAGCAAGCGGCACCCAAGAGCCCAACAAGAAAGCAACCACAAAGGAGTCAAAACAAACCAGAGATCCCTTAAAACAAACAATCCACTTCTACACACCATGGGCCAACAGCCAGAGTCCCCCCTCCCCACACAAGCTCTCCTACCTGTCTGAGGCCCTTCAGTAATTTCTTCCTTTTCCCAAGGTGCTGACAAAGATTGCGATCGTTTTCTCGGTCAGAGCTGTACTGGTGGTGGTGAAGTCTGTTCTTTTTCGGAAGATATGACAGCCCATTGGTAAGTGCTTCCCGTTTCTTCTTGGCCAGAGGATTCTGCCGCTTCTCCACGCGTTCCTGAGGTTTCAGAGCCACGTCCTTCTGCAAAGGAAGAGAAGAAAAACTGGTCAAAATACAGCTGGGATCTGGTCAGCCCTCTTCAAGCAGCAATTTCCAGAGCGACCATCTGAGCACACTCAAGGCAACGCAACGGTCACCAGAAGACAAAACAATCCTCACTGACCTCCAGGTAAACAAGAGTCAGCCAAATGCTAAATAAAACATGTGAGTGAGTGCGCAGCTTCAGATTTCATACCATGAACCTCATAATTCTCTGACGTGTCACACATCCGCTGAGCATGCATTTAGAAGACAACATATGTTTATAACATTTAACAATTCCCTTCTATTTAAACAAGCCTTGGCCTTTCACATTTCTTTATACTTATTTCTTTTGACTTATACTTGACAGGACAAGGCAAGAGCTGACCTAAAGCCAATTAATGTCAATGAATCTCAATTGCCTTCAGTTGATTCTTCCTCAAGCCTGACCTCAGTACATTTCCAAATCTCAAGGAAAAAAAACATCAAAAGAACAACTTCTATGGTTGTATTTGCACACTTTGAAAGTGACCCTTCTTTAAACTCCAGAATCAACATCTGTCTATAAAAAAAACCACTCACGTCTCATGTAATATGAACACAACCTCTGATACTCAGCCTTCAGTTACTGTATTTTCTTCCTGATATCCTGCAACCATTTTTTGTTTTAAATAAGTGCTAATTTCCCAGTGATACAGAATGAACGGCAGAGGAAGATGGAGGAATCACAACGGGTCCGTGGGAGATGCTACTGGGAGAGTGGACATGACAACACATATTGGGCTTTTAATGAATGCAATCAGCTGAATCCCAGCCTCTCCAAGAACTGCATGCATAAGAATACAGTATTCCTTCATAAGGACACACTACTTCAATAGGCTAACACTATAAGCATCTCCTACTAACATTCCTGGCAGCTTTGACTAAAAGCTCTCTGCTCCGCACCATGAAGTGCTGTGATATTGTGAGCCTCCATGCTTTTTTTTTTTTTTTATCATCACTTAATACTGTATTTGACAGCAGGACAAGCTGGGAGAAACCAATTGGTGGACTGGTCCCTGTGTCACACTGAGACTCAAGTTTAGGAGAGTATAATTCCAATTATGCTATATTTAAATTTAAAAAAAAAATGCCTACAAGCAAAAAACAGTTTGACTTTAATTAAAGAATGCTCCCCAAATGCACAAGAATGTCATAAAATTCATAACTGAAACCAACTTGACGATTAATTAAACTGAAGCCAGCAAATTTTCCAATCTGGTATTGGATAAAAGAAGAATTTCACATGCATTACAGATGGACAGCAGCTGTAAGACTTTCTCTGACTTTCTGAACCACTCCCCATCACATTTGTGCTCCAGATCCTTCATCACTGTATCACAGAACAGCCACACACCTTATCATAATTGCCAGCACACTGCTATATTTTTTTCAGCTCGGTACCAAAAAAATCCATTGCTTTATGAACAGCACATTGTACCAGTGCAGGGGTTCAAACGCAGAGCTCATGTTTGCAAACAGAAAGAAAAACAAAGAAAAGGAGAGGAACCTTCCAGAAGAAAATAAACATTCTCCTAATGATTAAATTGCTTTGTGGGATTTTTTTTTTTCCTTTTTTTTTTTCCCCCTGCAGCTGAAGATCTCAATGAAACAGTGGCAGGTTTCCAGAAGCTTATAAAACGTCTAATGGGAATAACACCACCACCAAGAAATTACTCGCTGCCATTAGCTTTACAGAGGGTACAAGATGGGTCAAATTTTGCAGAAGACTCCAGGCATGCCTGCCTTAACCATCCCTGTAAGACTCCCACGTTGTAGCCAACCTCACCAATAATTTCAGGTTTCATGGTCTGTCAGACCTACAGGAAGGTTTGGCTCACACGAGCACTGGGCCACGGGAATGCACAAACATACCTACAACAAAGATAAGCAACACCAAGGCCACAAATCCTTCTGCTCTCTATGAAAACAGCATATCTGCAGGAACAACCTGCAGAAGTCTCCAAAAAATAAGATGCAATAAGAACAGAAGGCAGCTCCATACACACACAGCTTGTCATTCTGCAGATTGCGGCCCCTAAATGCATCTTGGTAGATGGGTTTACTATGAAATTTAGACACAAAGACTGGTGTTTAGACAACTGGGGTCCTCCAGAACTGCTAGCTGCTTTCTGCCAGCTGACATTGCTGCAGAGAAAATTACAGAGCACTGTGGGTCAAAACCTCCTATTATCCAACTGTACCACAGAGCCTCTCGTCGCATTCAACAGATACAATCTGGTGCCTAAAATACACTTATTTGCTTGCTCCAAATCTGTATCTGCAGACTGGACTCCAACAGCACAAGTTAAAGCTTGGAGACACGCAGGCAGGATCCACTACAACCAGCTCTAATAGCAGCCACTGCTCTGTCAATCTCACTCCTCAGGGTGCAAATGGCCCCGAACCATTCCGGCACACTGAGTGCACACAAGGCTGCAGAGGATGGGCACAGATTCTGCCCCCTGGGAAGGAGGCACTCTGCTGGGAACACGGCCCTGCACAAACCACTTCCTCGCTCTGACCTTTCTCATCCCATTCCTATCTTTCTGTTGTTGGGACAGGACAACAGCCGTACCGCACCGTGTGCTACTTTAGTCAGCACAGTCTTAATTATGGACTTTAGGCATCGTCATGATTAGAGTAATAAGCTGCAATTACTCTAAGGTGACAGGGCTGCACAGACCTTATCTACATAGATAAGATGCAGTAATATTTCACGTCGAGGCATATTTCTAAGCAGCTGCCACAGAGCTGATTTGAGCACACCCTGCAAACGATGCATTCCAACTTTAATGTAAGCTTTCTTCCTCTCCTGCCAGCACACAGACCCACACATTATTAAATAAATCATACAAACGTATTAGGCACGGTTTAAAACAACCTTATTCGGAGATATCTTTCATCAGTAAAGTGCCTTAAGTGTATCAGGAAGGTGACTTACACGTATAAATATGTAATTACATACAATTCCACAAAAAAGTGCATTAATATTTATGAGTGTACCGTACCATCTCAAAAAAATAATCCATTTGTTTTGCTTCTGCTGGGCACACTCATCAACCCAACATCTTTGCATCATGGAGAAGAGCTGCCCTGCTAACAGGTCCTGTCATAACACTGACGAGTGGGAGGCTCTGCCATCATCACAGCTCCCACTAACAGCATCAGTCCCAACCCCAGCCCTGCACTGGTGCAGGAGGAGAAGCAGCTGCTTGGGTACAACAGGTTAATTCTACTACCAGGAGGCTTGAAGGACACACAGCACTCTCACTGAGCACTAAAGCCTCCAGCAAGCCATCCCTTACTTATTTCAGGAAAGTCCATCTTCCTCCTACCTAAGTGACAGCTTATTAATTAGACATCAGGTCCCCAGTGGCAGCCAAGCATTTCTTCAGACAGCCTCGATCTCCTCAAGTCATCATTAAAGGCCATTTTTCTGATCCTAGTGTTGTAAGAACTTACTTTCTGAATTCATGCTGAACGTGAGCCCAGGTGTTATTATTTTTCTAAAATGAAAGTATGTTACAGTGTGCAAGTAGTGTAGTAAGTAATAACTGTGTCAGGCCAAAACTGTATTCCAATTATTTGCTTGTCAGGCTCCTGCTAGTTCACAATAGCTTTGTGTAAGAGCCTAAGAGTTTACACCTCATCTCAATAATAAAATTAGATATAAAGAATTAAGAGACTTCTCTTAAACACCCCAAACTACTCCATAGCCATGAAATATCAGCGTTCTCTAGAACAACTGGTTTGAAACACCACCAGCCCAACCTCATCTTGAGTGCATGCATTTTCAGCCTGAAACCAAGCACCTCTCTATCATCAAATCACATTGCAATGAAGGTACCTGTGGAGCCCATGATAGAATCAGAGAACCACAGACTGGCGTGGGTTGGAAGGGACCTTACAGCCCACCCAGTTCCAAGCCTTGCATGGGCTGGGTGACCCCCAGCTCAGGCTGCCCAGCACCCACTCATGGCCTGGGGCACCTCCAGGAATGGGGCACACAAGAGGGAAGTTGTGAATCTTACTGGGTTTTCTGTTAAATTTGGGAAGAACTTTTAAAGCTGATGGATGAAAGTGCCTTAAGACTTCAATCCTTCCCTCTCTCCGTAATTCCTTACTTTCCTTCTGGCAGTAACATCAAGATGTAAAGGTCTGAGAACAAGGCAGTGAGTAGACCCTGCAATCTTTCACAATCAGAAAATAAAATGCTTATAATAATCATTTTGCTTCCCTCCAGATAAGATAGCTAAACACACTGTGCCTTCTTCTGAATGCACAGTTAACTCCTCAGAAGTGTTTATCTGAGGGGAAATAAACTATGAATCCTCCTAAAACACCACCGGAGAGAAAGGAAGGCAGGTATACAGCATGGTGCAAAAGAGAGGACTCACCAGTGTGGCAGTGATGGCATTTTAGGACTCTAGGGCCTGATGAGCATGTCACCCAGTCCGGGCACAGCAGCCCATTTGTTCATCCCATTTGCCATTTTTCCAAGTTCCAAGACCTCAGCAGAAAGATTTAATCTAGCTTCATTTGTTGCCTTTGTTTCCATGAAATTACAATTTGTTGCCTTCTGCACGTGTCTCAAATCTGAAAAAAGTGTTGTGCAAAAGGGGCTGTGCAACAGACTGAAGACAGAACGCCGTCCCAGCCTGCAGGGCTGTACGTGGTGCTTACAGATGAAGGCAAAACAATAGAAATGCAAGTTGCTGTCTGCTCAGATATGTTTTATAAAAGCTTCTGTAGCAAAGAGATTGCTTTGATTTTTCATCCCAACGTCATTTGTTAACAACATCATTGATAAACAGTCGGCAGCTTTTCAGGTGCTGCTGATTTGAACTGCACACACAAAAAAAGCAGCACTAGAGGCACATTACTGAGGTTATGAAGTCAAGGACCTGGAAGTTATGAAAGGCCAGGACTGAGGCTGCAACCACCACCCGAATTCAGCC